ATGGAGAGAAAATGTTTTGAGAAACGATGTACAAATGCGCTTTACACAATTGATGTGTGTATGGATTGGGATAACAGTTATATGAGCCCCTAATAAAATGTTAAAAAAGAAAAAAAAAGACCTTTGAAGGAAAAACAAACAGGCCTCTGTGGAGCTGGGGCTTTGTCCATTATCAGTCTACATGGACTGTATCTCAGTTTTGGATTTGACGAACCCAGAATATGTGTGTATGAGAGGTATTTTTAAAATATAAGACTTTCTCATAGTAAAAATGGGAAACTCCAAATTAGAGAAAATAGATCGCAAAAAGGGTTTTTCCCCCTCAACTTACCTTGAAATTTATGGTCCAGTCCACTTTTAGTAGAATCATAATCATCAATTAGTCTTCGATTCTTGGTTGAATCAATATCTTCCACATTCAACTTATTATCATAAGGGGAGCTTCTTACCGATTGTTTTTCTTTCTCAATTTTTTGTTTCTCTGCTATTGCCTTCAGTAGGTTCAAGTTATCAGCAAAGGAACGATTGCTTCCCCCTGCGTTGTTTTCTGCACAAAAAGTCCAAGCCCAACACACGATTTTAGTGAAGATACTCCAGGCCCACATTATTTGCGCGGCCAGAAATATAAATAAAAACGAAAGGAATTTTTACCGGGAGAGTATGTTTTTTTAATGTTATCTGCTTCTGCCTCTGCAATCTGTGGAAACAGACAGAGGACAAACTAGATTTTAAATCACTGCTTCAGTATTTACCATCCTCGTCAAGTGATTTAATCACCATGGACCTCAGTTTTCTCATTTAGAAGAGGGAGACGGGAATTTCTTTCTCAAAGTATTGTTGTAGGGTCAAAAGGACATAAAGTGCAGATGCTCCACAAATATCAATTTTATTCCTTCTATGCTACTGGAAAGGTGACTCTTTGCTAAATTAAGCAACCTGATAATACAGTGGATGTGATATATAATGGCGAGCTGCTGGGTTATTATAGAACCAGAGCTATGTACTATACAGGGCAATATATTTCACTCTCAAGGCACATTATAGTCATCTTCCTAATTTCTGTAAATTCACTATTAAACTCCTAACGTTTGTAAGGTTAACATGGCTAAAATATCCCAGCATAGTTACACTGAATAGTAATAACTAGAGTAAAATGAAACAGCAGTTATAATTTTACTTTTGACGTACCTGTTCATTCAAAGGTCTTTCGGCACTTAATTCTCTATTATGTACAGACTTGTCTAGAGCGAAACACACACAAATATAAGTTTAACACACAATTTAACACACAAATGTCTCAAACTAAATAACACCTTTGATAAAGAGAAAGGACTATTCGGAGAAATATTTTGGATCATTATGAAACAAAAATATGCATTCATAAAGATTACCAAGACTATACAATAACATTATATTCAGCACTGCTTATTATCCTACTGTATTTCCTGAGCTAACAGAATCACCCTTTCTTTTTCTTTTTTTTAACCAAAAATCTAACGTGAAGTTTCTAAAGCGGGTCTTAAGTAAGTGGATATTATTGGCAAATTAAGAGCTCTTTGATCATGATATAAATAGATAATTTGAAAAAGGTTGTAAAACACTTAGGAAAATAAAATCAAGTCGCTGTATTCGACAGAAAAGCCACATCTCTTTTCCAAAGCAGATTTCCAAAGGACCTATGTTTTCACTCTATCACTTAGCAAGCACAACAGCCATCTAAAAAGGTCTCTAAAGTAAAAATAAAAAAATATGCACTGAGAGGGTCTGATCAGGAATGAGGCAAAGTGGTTTACAGCCCACGGGGCGTGTCCAACTTTACCTTCTGCAGAGAAGAGGCGGCGGGAAGCCAGCTGGGCACCTACCTTGGCTGCCTCCCGGCTTGGGGAAAGCTTGCGTGGGGCTGGCATAGAGCACCAGCACCAGAAGCCAGGAGCCGGTCCAGAGGAGCCCCATTCTTGCCCGCTCGGCGCCCGATCCCGAGGCTGGAGCTTTTGCTGTGAATGAAAGGGAGTACAAACAGGAAGAGCCAGGTGGACGGGTGCACGCAGGCCGAGTACCGCAAGCTCGCACCCGGGAGCGCTCGGGCTCCGAAGGGCTCGGGCGGCCGGGACTCAGGTCCTCAGGTGGAGCTGGAGCTGTCCGCCCCGTAGGTGCTGAAGTTCCTGCGACTCCAGGCCGACCCGGATGGCTAGGGCGTCGCCTTACTCACCTCCCTCCCGGAGAGGAAGTGAGGGAGGAGGCGCATGCTCCTTGCAAGCCAGGGGCGGGAAGGGATGGCGTCAGCGACTCCGATGCTACTCCAATCCCCCGGGAATGGGAGGGGGAGGGGAGAGAGACCGGCTGGCGTCAGTTCTGTGCCGCAGTCTTCGGGGTGTCCCTGCTCTCAGGGTCAGCTGTAAACTAGGACATCATTGTGGTCAGCTCCCCAGTAGACCTTACCCTGCTAGAGAAGCAACACCAAATGCTGCTTCTACCTGTGTACTTGCCGAGAGCAAGTCACTAGGTCATCTGGTGCGAAGGATTCTGCTTTGGGAATTCTTCTGGTATAGCTGCTCCAGATCCCTCCTTTCCCTGCCACCTCTTGCACCCCAAAAATAAATAGACAGTTGACACGCTTAGAAACGCCCTGTCTTTTGTGTATATAATAAGCGTCCGTCCCTTGACGCCCTGATTTGAGTCTCCACTCTATGGAGTCTTTTGAAAGGAAAAACTCAAGTATTCTTTCAAATCAGTATATTACTGTAACACACTCTCACTCTCTCAGAGGTTGATATAGGCAGAATCACTGTGTGTTCCCCTGAGAGTGATTGTCCTTATCAGTGGGGGTGGAGAGAGACAAGTTCTTTCTAATATTTCCCCGCTTCCCCATTCCACCTACACACACACAGAAGCGCTTCTGTAAAATTCGACTCAGGATTCAGCTATGCCCATGCAGGGGTCTTTAACGAGAGAGAATCTTAATGAGAAGAAATTTTAGTTTCAGTTAGGTCACGGAGGTGCTTCAACTATTCAGAGAATATTCCCAGGAAGCAAAAGCGAGGAGCTATCAAAAGACATCTACACGATGACTATAAGCAACACTAACGTGAGCAGGGTGTTCAGTAAGCCTTTTGTCCCTGATTTTTGAACAAAGCTCTGACCCTTTTATTTTGACTTTGGCATGCTGAGAACCAGTCTGAATAATGAACGAAGAGGATTCAGCACAAACAGGGCTTTGATCCCCTACCTCTACTTTTCAATGAGGAGGTTAGTCCTTCAAACACTTAATGAACAAACAAACCAACAAACAAATCTCTCCTGCTCTGGAGGCTTTGAGTTTGGAAGTTTCTCAATGTCACCTTTCAGGGGTGTTTTTTTTTTAAAAGATTGAGCATATGTACATAGAAGAGAAATCGCCTGTTTCTAATTTATCAAGCGCATGACTATTGTCTAGTTAGCCTGCTTCTAAAGGCATGGGATCCTATTCCTACAGTGAAAATATGGTTAAGGATAAATCACACAGCCGATGATGCCCAGATTAAAGCAAAGAACATTGCAAGTGAGGACACCAATCAAGAAGCAATATGGAAATATCGTAAATAACAGTTGTGTTGATTTTTGTAAAGTATTATTGATATATTTCGTTAATATTTTAAAACTCTTTCTTATAACATGATCCAGTTTTTTTGTACCTCTTTTATCACTCTTATTTAGGTGTTAACTGAATGAAATAATAGATTACCTTTCAGTATTTCTTTTTTATACATAACATGATCATTAGCGAACTGGTTGTTAAATCATTTGAATCCCCATCGTTGGTAGTTTCCCAGAAGAAATCAGGGTGAGGGCTTCAGGCTAACAAAACCAACAGATGCTTTACTCTGTTAGGTAGCCAAGACAGGGAAGGGGGTTGTCCCTCCCCTGCCTGTACAGCCCTCCTACAGGAGGTTGGGAGGAAAAATCAGGCAAGCATTAGCCACCCATGAAGACTTTAATTTGGCATTCTCCAATTCAACCCCCACTCCCCACCAGCCAGGTGGGCGTTCCACCTGGGTGGTCCAAACTAGGTCCAAGCTCATGAGCCTTTCCAGGTGGGCTTAATTCAGCCAATGGGCTGAATTCAGCCAATAGGCCTCCCCTGCCAGAGGATTTAAATATCCTAGCTGCAGAAAGATCGTTCTCTTTTTACTCTGCTCCTTGTCAGAGGCAGGTAGGAGGCACACACCTGCTGCCTGGGCAGACCCCCTCAACGCCTGC